GGGCACAGGTGGGGGCACTGCTGGGAACGGGTGGGTGGGGCTAGTGGGCGCACTGCTGGGCGGAACTTGCGGGTGTCACTGCTGGGCACCGATCATCAGGGCACTGATCATCAGTGCCCTGATGATCGGTGCCGATCCCCGCTCTGACAACTGCCGGTTCTCGGCAGTACTTTCCTCACGATCTGACAGCGTGAGGAAAGTGCAGCCGAGAACCGGCACTTGCATTTCCCTGTGATCAGCGTGTCATTGGACACCGCTGATCACGTGGTAAAAGGCCGGTGGGATCGGCCTTTCACCACATCACGTGATCAGCTGTGTCCGTAGGACACAGCGATCACGGAGATCGCCGGGTGCGCGCCCCCTGGGGCGCGCAGGAGAGCGCGTTCTGGGAGGACGTCATATGACGTCCACTCAGAACTGGCCGGCCACGGTGAAGCCGTCATTCGGCTATGCGCGGTCGGCAAGAAGTTAATGTCTCCATAAAGAGGACCTGTCTCCTGCCCAGTGCTATCACAGATGGCTTGTTAGCTGCCTTGTGACAGCAATAAATGTAACTTCTTCACGCCGCCGAATGCAAATGTGCTGCCTCCTGGCATCAGGGCCTAGACGCCAAGCAGCCACACATTCGCGTTCCATTAAAAAAGAACATATGTGCTGAGAGCGCGTGCCCTGCGCGCTCCCAGCATACATGTCCGGTACTCACGGAAAGGTCCCGATCTCCTCTTTCGATCGGGACCTTTCCCGATCATGTGACCACTGTGACGGTGTGTCACGGCGGTCAAATGACCATAAACCCCGCCCCGCCTCCCGGCTTCTGAAACCCTTAAAGGGCCGGGAGGCGCTGGTGTAAGGGGTTAAAGAAAAAAAAAAAAAAAAGGGTAAAAATGTTTTATTTCTTTAAAGTATCCCTGTCACCCCATCCACACCCCAATTAAAAAGAGCAGCGAAGGGCGAGCACATGAAAGTAACCATAAATTGCGTTGCATATCTGCGATATTGATACGGACATCAGAGTGGCAGTAATAATCTTAGGGTCAGAATTTACACTTCAATCTGATGACCTGTAAAGAATTTTAAAGTGCCACCTATGGACAATTTTGAGGACCATAGTTTTCTGCGATTCCAAAGGTGTGTGCAATTTTAAGACTTAACATGTTTGGTATCTATTTACTTGATGCATCCCAATCTTTTTTTATTTTACCAAAGAATTGCGTATATTAATGTGTTTATTGCACAAAAAAAAATTTAATTTTAGTGTATTTTTTCAAAAAAATATGCTTTGGTAAATGGCCGAGCAAACATAGCGCTGAAAAAAAAAAAAAAAATTGCAACTAGCACCATTCTATTTCCTACATACAAAATATATAATGTTCGGGGGTTAAAAGAACATACAAAACATTTTAGATTTCAATGTATATGAAAAAAAAAACATTGTTGCGGGTTATACTTCTGCACATTTCCATGCACTGCAGTGCTCCACGATCCGTTACAGCACCTGGGAACGCGCGCTGCAAAAAAAGTAACACTTTTTTTTTTTTTTTAGGGAAAAAAAAAAAAAAAAAAGACGTTGCATATTTTGCGCAATGCGAGGTGCTGCAACAGATCATAATGGACTGAGCTAAAACCATAGGACCTGAGACCTGCCTTGTCTATACACTGGGTTATGGTGCCCAATGCTGCTGGTGTGAGTGAGCTCTTAGTTCTGGTGAGGGGGAATTTCCCCAGCAGAGATGCAGAAAGCAACAAACCTGACAGGGGGGGGGGGTCTAACCCTCCATCCAAAACTGAACAAAAAAAAAAAAAAGGCCCTAGATAGACATTATCAGCAGTACTGGGTCCCACACATCGGGCTGCATTCTATCAGTAGAAGGATATGTTCCTGGACTTTCTTTCAGCGTGTTCAGGAAGCCAACTTTTACGGAATCTAAAAAGAGAAAAATAATGACATATAAAAGGAGTATTATAAAACAGAATCTCACTTGAAGACACAGATCAAAAGAAGGACCTATTTTGTTAAGTGACCTGAAGGCCAACTCCACCTCTAACAGATAATGTACCTCCAGGTAGACAAAGTCTTGCTCTGGTCCATTTTGAAAATGAAGCCTAGAAAGGCCTGCAAAGCATCACTTCTGCATTTCTGGCCTAGGTGAGAATGATACCCATGGCCCCTCCTGACCTAGGTGAGAATGATACCCAGGGCCCCTCCTGGCCTAGGTGAGAATGATACCCAGGGCCCCTCCTGGCCTAGGTGAGAATGATACCCAGGGCCCCTCCTGGCCTAGGTGAGAATGATACCCAGGGCCCCTCCTGGCCTAGGTGAGAATGATACCCAGGGCCCCTCCTGGCCTAGGTGAGAATGATACCCAGGGCCCCTCCTGGCCTAGGTGAGAATGATACCCAGGGCCCCTCCTGGCCTAGGTGAGAATGATACCCAGGGCCCCCTCCTGGCCTAGGTGAGAATGATACCCAGGGTCCCTCCTGGCCTAGGTGAGAATGATACCCAGGTTCCCTCCTGGCCTAGGGCCTAGGTGAGAATGATACCCAGGTCCCCTCCTGGCCTAGGTGAGAATGATACCCAGGGCCCCTCCTGGCCTAGGTGAGAATGGTACCCAGGGTCCCTCCTGGCCTAGGTGAGAATGATACCCAGGTTCCCTCCTGGCCTAGGTGAGAATGATACCCAGGGCCCCTCCTGGCCTAGGTGAGAATGATACCCAGGGCCCCTCCTCCTGCCCTCTTCCAAGATACTGAGTGTGCGCAGTTGTGCCGCAGGGCTTTGAAGCCCTTCCTTTCTCAAAGCCCTGCAACACATCTGCACACATGCGAGCTTCCCTGCATATGTTCAAAGATGGGTAGAGCAACAGTCCCAAAACTTTTGCATCTTTGCACACATGCAAGAAATATCCTGCGGGTGTGCAGATGTAGCAAAGGGCTTTGTCAGGACCTGATGGCCAGGCAGAGCCCTTCGGTATATCTGCGCACGCACTGTAGTGGCAGCACAGGGGGGGAGGGGTCAAAGCTACAAAAAAATGGGGGCTGAAGCTTCTCTTTAATGGCAATTTTTTGTCTGCTGCGGTGCATTTGGAAGCCCATTTGCAGGAGATCTAAAGGCAATTTTATTCCCCTATTGTATAGAATAAGGGAGGGATATAACTCCTCCATCATCTCATTGCAAAGATTTCCCTTTATTTCCTGTCCCATGTCCCCTTTGGAAAATTTCCCCTCTATTCTTGTTCTAGGAATAATGGTATAAAGAGAGGGAGAATCTTCCTTACAAGGCATAGACAGATATATGCCTAACATTTCCATCTGGGTGCACTGTGGACACACTGTTCCCATCTGAGTGCACTGCAGACCCACTGTTCCCATCTGGGTACACTGTAGACCCAACATTCCTATGTGGGCACACTGTAGACCCAACATTCCCATCTGGGTACACCATAGACCCAACATTCTCATCTGGGTACACCATAGACCCAACATTCCCATTTGGGTACACCATAGACCCAACATTCCCATTTGGGTACATTATAAACCCAACATTCCCATTTGGGTACATTATAAACCCAACATTCCCATTTGGGTACATTATAAACCCAACATTCCCATTTGGGTACATTGTATTCCCAATATTCCCATCTGGGTATACCCAACACCGTAGACCCAACATTCCCATCTGGGTACACCGTAGACCCAACATTCAGATCTGGGTACACCGTAGACCCAACATTCAGATCTGGGTACACCGTAGACCCAACATTCCCATCTGGGTACACCGTAGACCCAACATTCCCATCTGGGTACACCGTAGACCCAACATTCCCATCTGGGTACACCGTAGACCCAACATTCCCATCTGGGTACACCGTAGACCCAACATTCCCATCTGGGTACACCGTAGAGACCCAACATAGACCCCATTTTGGGTAAACCGTAGACCCAACATTCCCATTTGGGTAAACCGTAGACCCAACATTCCCATTTGGGTAAACCGTAGACCCAACATTCCATCTTGGTACACCGTAGACCCAACATTACCACTGGAGTACACTGTAGACCCAACATTCCCATCTGGGTACACTGTAGACCCAACATTCTCACTGGAGTACACTGTAGACCCAACATTCCCATCTGGGTGCACTGTATACCAAACATTCCCATTTGAGTACACTGTATATCCAACATTCCCATCTGGGTGCACTGTATACCCAAACATTCCCATTTGAGTACACTGTATATCCAACATTCCCATCTGGGTACACTGTATACCCAACATTCCCATTTGAGTACATCGTAGACCCAACATTCCCATCTGGGTATACTTGTAGGCCCAACATTCCAATCTGGGTGCACTATAGAGATAACATTCCCATCTGAGCACACTGTACACCCAACATTCCCATCTGAGTATACTGTAGACCCAAAATTCCCATCTGAGTATACTGTAGACCCAAAATTCCCATCTGAGTATACTGTAGACCCAACATTCCCATCTGAGTATACTGTAAACCCAACATTCCCATATGGGTGCACTGTATACCCAATGGTCCTTTCTGAGCACACTGTAGACCCAACATTCCAATCTGGGTGCACTGCAGACCCAACATTCCCATCTGGATACACTATAAAAGAGAGGGTTAATTTCCCTAATGGCCACAGACAGCAATAAAAACCTGACAGGTATTCTAATACCACTCCCCTCTATCTATAATGCACAAAAGAAATTTAAAAAAAAAAAAGAAAAGAAAAATGCCTTTAGTTATACTAATGGACTACCTTAATGCAATGCACACTAAAGCGAAGGCGTGAAACACACCACAGCGGACCACTCTGGTGTGAATGGGCTCTTAGTTTTTAAATCATCCATTTACTGCACAGAATAGACAGCACTCATACTCAAACATTTCCAATTTCTAAATAACCATTTCCATGGGGAGGCCACAATCAAACATTGAAGTGGAAAGAAGGAGGGACCCACTGAGGACAACATAGACGATGTTGAAGGCGAATATGTAGATTGTCAGAAGGGACAAGGAAAGGATGAAGAGGTAGAAGTATCGATAATTCCTCTTTCCAACGCAGTTCCCCACCCATGGACAGTGATGGTCAAAACGCTCTGCGGAGGCACAGAAGACAAATGAGATTACAGGAGGCATAAAAGCAGCTTACTGGCATACAAATGTAATAAAGAAACAGTCATCTCTTCATGTTATTCTGTTTAAGATATACCATATGTACAAGAGAGATTCAAGTGTATCTAAATCTAAGCACAGTTCTATTTCTATATAGCGAGTCATTATGGGTGTACATGAGGTGGTCATATTTCCCTGTTACACACTCTGGCTCAACTGCCTTCTTAGTAGTGCTGCACAATGGTCATTCCCAGGGGTGGACTGACCATTCCGGCACTAGGGCACTGCCCGAGGGCCCAGGGTCAGTAGAGGCCCCATGAGATGCCACTAGTACCTTTCATAGGATATTTTGGGTGCGGTTTCGAGTGTGGGTGAGGACACAGGGGCCCCTTGCTTCCCTATTGCCCGGGGGCCCCATGAGTTGTCAGTCCGCCCCTGGTCATTCCACTATTCTCCCACTCTACGTCTGCCAGACAATTTCTCCCAGACTGAAAAAAAGATTTTCTGCAGTCTCCAATGACAAGAAAAACACACAATACTCCTCCCAGGAAAGATTATATGATCCGTTCCCTAGTCTTCATCCCCCCCACTTGTTGCAAGAAAGGTCATTTTTTACTCTACATAATGACATGAAATGGAGATGCCAAATCGAGAAAAGAGAACTGTGATGTGGTGGCTGCAATAGTTTCCTTTCTCTAGTTTTTCTTATTTATTTTCACCTGGTGATTCTTCAAGTAACGGTTCCTGTCGTGGGGTGACTATGCTCATTCTACTGCGAGTATGGAGGAGCAGCACTGAGGGCATCACATCTAGATACACTGTATATCTAACATTCAAATCTAGGTACACAGTATACCCAGCATTCCCATTCAGGTACACTATATACCCAACATTCCCATTTGCGCACACTGAACACCCAACTTTCTAATCTGGGTACACTGTATGCCCAATGTTCTCATTTTGGTGCACTGGTAGATCCAACCTTCCCTTTTGAGTACCCTGTAGACTTGGCATTCCCAATTGAGTACATTGTATATGCAACCTTCTCATTTTGGTACACTGGTAGACCCAACCTTCTCATTTGGGTACCCTGTAGACCCAACCTTCTCATTTGGGTACCCTGGTAGACCCAACCTTCTCATTTGGGTACCCTGGTAGACCCAACCTTCTCATTTGGGTACCCTGGTAGACCCAACCTTCTCATTTGGGTACCCTGGTAGACCCAACCTTCTCATTCGGGTACCCTGGTAGACCCAACTTTCCTATTCGGGTACCCTGGTAGACCCAACTTTCCCATTTGTGTACACTGGTAGACCCAACCTTCCCAGTTGGGTACAATATAGACCAAGCATTCCCATTTGGGTACATTAAATACCCAACATGCACGTTTTGCTAAACTGTAGACCCACATTCTCATCTGGGTACATTATACACTCAACATGCCTATTCCCACATGGGTACCCTGTACATCCAATATTCCCACATGGGTACCCTGTAGATCCAACCTTCTCACATGGATACCCTGTAGACTAACTTTCCCATTTGGGTACCCTGTAGATCCAACCTTCCCATTTGCCCATTTGGGTACCCTGTAGACCCAACCTTCCCATTTGGGTACCCTGCAGACCCAACCTTCCCATTTGGGTAACCTGCAGACCCACCTTCCCATTTGGGTACTCTATAGACCCAGATTCCCATTATGGTACAATATAGACCAAGCATTCCCATTTGGGTACATTAAATACCCAACATGCACATTTTGCTAAACTGTAGACCCACATTCTCATCTGGGTACATTATACACTCAACATGCCTATTTGGGTTCATTGTAGACCTAACATTCCTATTTGGGTACCCTGTACATCCAATATTCCCATTTGGGTACCCAGTAGACCCAACATTACTATCTGTGTACACTGCATACCCAACATTTTCATATAGGTAAACTGTATACCGGGGCGGACTGACAACTTACGGGGCCCACGGAAAATAGGGGATCATGGGGCCCCTGTGTCGCCAACACTCAAACCACACCAAAAAAAGCCTATGAAAGGTGCCAGGGGCATCTCATGGGGCCCCCTACTGACCCTGGGCCCTCGGGCAGTGCCTGAGTGGTCAGTCCGCCCCTGCTGTATACTCAACACTCTCATTTGGGTACACTGTATACCCAAACAATGCTCATTTTGGTGCATTGTAGATCTAACATTCTATTTCTGGTACATTGTAGACCCAGATTTCCCATTTGGTACACTCTAGACGCAACATTCCCATTTGGGTACAGCATTCTCTAGTTACTCACCCACACAGTTATCACATATACTGCAGTGTGATGCTCGAGGAGGCCTGAAGATCTTGCACGTGTAACAGTATTTCAGCTTAACTATCTGATTGTTGATTTGGACATTTTTAATACGAGGTGGCGGGCGCTGACCTTGTGGCACGTTTCCATTGGCTGCCTCTGAAAGAAGAGATCAGATGTTATATTCATGTTTAGTGTCAGGGCTTGCATTTCCATGAGGCACCATAGGCCTGTCTCTATGGAAGGCAGAGGGAAGAAGAAAAAAATAAAAAAAAGAAGAAAAAAAAAAAAAAAAAAGTAAAAAAAAAAGAAGAAAAAAAAAAAAAAAAAGAAGAAAAAAAAAAGAGAAAAAAAAGAGAAGACAAAAGGAAGAAAAAAAAAAAGAAAAAAAGAAGAAAAAGAAAAAAAGAGAAGAAAAAAAAGAAAAAAGAACAAAAAAAAAGAGAAGAAAAAGGAAGAAAAAAAAGAAGAAAAAAAAGAGAAAAAAAAGAGAAGAAAAAAAGAGAAGAAAAAAAAGAGAAGAAAAAGAGAAAAAAAGAAGAAAAAAAGAGAAGAAAAAAAAAAGAGAAGAAAAAGGAAGAAAAAAAGAGAAGAAAAAAGAGAAGAAAAAGGAAGAAAAAAAGAGAAGAAAAAGGAAGAAAAAAAGAAGAAAAAAAAGAAGAAAAAAGAAGAAAAAGAGAAGAAAAGAGAAGAAAAAAAGTAAAAAAAAAAAGAAGAAAAAAAGAGAAGAAAAAAAGAGACAAAAAAAGAGAAGAAAAAAGGAAGAAAAAAAAAAAAGAGAAGAACAAAAAAGAAAAGAAAAAAAAAGAGAAGAAAAAGGAAAAAAAAGAAGAAAAAAAAGAGAAGAAAAAAGAAGAAAAAAGAAGAAAAAAAAGAGAAGAAAAAAGAGAAAAAGAAAAAAAAGAGAAGAAAAAAGGAAAAAAGAAAAAAGAGAAGACAAAAAGGAAGAAAAAAAAAAAAAAGAGAAAAAAAAAGAGAAGAAAAAGAAAAAAAAAGAGAAGAAAAAGAGAAGAAAAAAGAAGAAAAAAGAGAAGAAAAAAAGAGAAGAAAAAAAGAGAAGAAAAAAAAAAAAAAGAGAAGAAAAAAGGAAGTAAAAGAAAAAAGAGAAGAAAAAGGAAGAAAAAAAAAAAAAAGAGAAGAAAAAAAGAGAAGAAAAAGAACAAAAAAAAAGAGAAGAAAAAGGAAGAAAAAAGAAAGAAAAAAAGAGAAGAAAAAAAGAGAAGAAAAAAAAGAGAGAAAAAAAAAGAAGAAAAAAAGAGAAGAAAAAAAGAGAAGAAAAAAAGAGAAGAAAAAAAGAGAAGAAAAAAAGAGAAGAAAAAAGAGAAGAAAAAAAAGAAAGAAAAAAAGAGAAGAAAAAAAGAGAAGAAAAAAAGAGAAGAAAAAAAGAGAAGAAAAAAGAAGAAAAAAAAGAAGAAAAAAAGAGGAAAAAAGAGAAGAAAAGGAACAAAAAAAAAAGAGAAGAAAAGGAAGAAAAAAAAAAAAAAAAGAGAAGAAAAAAGGAAGAAAAAGAAGAAAAAGAAGAAAAAAGAAGAAAAAAAGAGAAGAAAAAGAAAAAAAAAAAGTAAAAAGAAAAAAAAGAGAAGAAAAAAAGAGAAGCAAAAAAAGAGAAGAAAAAAAGAAGAAAAAGAGAAAAAAAAGAGAAGAAAAAAGAGAAGAAAAAAAGAGAAGAAAAAAAAGAGAAGAAAAAAAAAAAGAAAAAAAGAGAAGAAAAAGAGAAGAAAAACAGAGAAGAAAAGAGAAGAAAAGAAAGAAAAAAAGAGAAGAAAAAAGAAGAAAAAAAAAAAAAGAAGAAAAAAAGGAGAAAGAAAAAAGGAGAAAGAAGAAGAAATTACAGTCGTCTTATAAAAGCTCATTTTTATATTATCAGGATAGTCTAAGCCAAGTAAAGACCAAAAAAAAAAACAGGAGGATATATGGAAAAAGAGGTACTCTTAGCAAAGGGGTGTTAACCAATGTGTGTCTGCAAGCTCTGATGCTGTAATGTATCCCTGTTAGTGTTCTGATCTGCCAAGAAAATTATTTTATAAAATATCCTGATTATAAAAGCAGCAGGAAAACTTTTTACATTGATTAAAAATTTGACCATCCTGAATGCATGTCTGTAGCTTCCCATGTCCTACAGGTGGCGCTGTTCACTATGCAAAGTTCCCATCCAGACAGGGAACATTCTTAGAGAGGTCAGTGATATTATTTCTCTGTGTAAAAGATTTTTTATTAGGGCCACTTACACCCGTTTATTTATTTTATTTATTTCAGGTACTTATATAGCGCCGTCAATCTACGCAGCACTTTACATATATATTGTACATTCACATCAGTCCCTAACCCTCAAGGGGCGTACAATCTAAGGTCCCTAACTCACATTCATACATACACATACTAGGGCCAATTTAGACAGGATCCAATTCACCTACCAGCATGTCTTTGGAGTGTGGGAGGAAAACGGAGGACCCGGAGGAAACCCACGCAGGCACAGGGAGAACATGCAAACTCCAGGCAGGTGGTGCCATGGTTGGGATTCGAACCAACGACCCTAGTGCACTCATCTATTTTTGCATTAATGTGCTGTGTAAAGGCAGCCCAACAGAAATAAATGGGCTACCAATGCCCCACAATGGCCAAAGAGCTTGCTCACACCAGCAACAGGGCGATTCGTCTATTCGTCCTATGGCTTCAGTTCATAGCAACGTGCTATGTTGGTGTGTGCTGCAAAAATTGGACATTTTTGCGCAGTTTGATCCTACTGATAAATTTTGATTCGGATATACTTTAACCACTTGCCCTCCTGAGGAATACCCCCCCCCCCCCCCCCCCCCCGGACCAGGCCATTTTTTGCGTTAACTACTTTAACTGACAATTGCGCCGTCATGCAACACTGCACCCAAATGAAATTTACATCCTTTTATTCCCACAAATACAGCTTTCTTTTGGTGGAAAGAAAGAAAGAGAGAGAGAAAGAAAAAGAGAAAAAGAAAGAAAGAGAGAGAGAGAAAGAAAGAAAGAAATAGAAAGAGAGAGAGAGAGAGAGAGAACGAGAGAGAGAACGAGAGAGAGAGAGAGAGAGAGATAACGAGAGAGAGAGAGAGAGAACGAGAAGAGAGAGAGAGAACGAGAGAGAGAGAGAGAGAGAGAAGAGAGAGAGAGAGAGAACGAGAGAGAGAGAGACGAGAGACGAGAGAGAACGAGAGAGAGAGAAAGAAATAGAGAGAGAGAAACGAGAGAGAGAGAACGAGAGAGAGAGAGAGAGAGAGAGAGAACGAGAGAGAGAGAGAGAAGAAAGAAAGAAATAGAAAGAGAGAGAGAGAGAGAGAGAGAGAACGAGAGAGAGAGAGAGAGAGAGAGAGAGAGAGAGAGAGAGAGAGAGAGAGAGAGAACGAGAGAGAGAGAGAACGAGAGAGAGAGAGAGAGAACGAGAGAGAGAGAGAGAAAGAGAGATAGAAAGAGAAAGAGAAAGAAATAGAGAGAGAGAGAGAGAGAGAGAGAGAGAGAGAGAGAGAGAGAACGAGAGAGAGAGAGAACGAGAGAGAGAGAGAACGAGAGAGAGAGAGCGGGAGAGAGAGCGAGAGAGCGAAAGAGAGAGAGGGGGGCAGAGAGACAGAGAGAGGGACAGAGAGAGGGAGAGAGAGCGAGAGAGGGACAGAGAGCGAGAGAGAGAGAGAACGAGAGAGAGAGCGGGAGACAGAGAGGGAGAGAGAAAGAGAGAGAGGGAGAGAGAGCGAGAGAGAGAGAGCGAGAAAGAGAGAGGGACAGAGAGAGACAGAGAGTGAGAGAGAGAGAGAGAAAGTAAAATTACAATACAAATTAATACAGGATGGATCAGGGGGCTTTCAATCCAAGAGGGAGGGTCATTTGATACAAAAGAGAGAGAGAGAGAGAGAGCGCAAGAGAGAGAGAGAGAGTGTGCGCGAGAGAGAGGGGGTGAGAGAGCGGGGGAGAGAGCGAAAGAGAGAGAGCGAGAAAGAAAGAGGGAGAGAGAGGGGTGGCAGAGAGACAGAGAGAGGGACAGAGAGAGACAGAGAGCAAGAGAGAGACAGAGAAAGTAAAATTACAATACAAATTAATACAGGATGGATCAGAGGGCTTTCAATCCAAGAGGGAGGGTCATTTGACACAAAAGGTAATAACTGCGGTGGATGGGCCGATGGAGAAAATACATGTACAGTTGTTACGGGGAGGCAGGATAGGCTTCTCTGAAGGGAGGAGTTTTTAGCGATCATCTAAAAGTGGACAGAGTAGGAGATAGTCTGACACATTGGTGAAGGGAGTTCCAGAGGATGGGAGAGGCTCTGGAGAAGTCCCGGAGGCAAGCGTGGGAGGAGGTGACAAGGGAACTCGAGAGCAAGAGGTCTTGGGAGGAGGTCTTGCTGCGAACGCACATAGCATTACTGCAACACACCAAAACAGATAAGTGTGAATGGGCCTTTAAAGTATATTTGGACTTTTAGTTACAGCATCAGGTTAGGTAAAAAAAAAACCCCAAAAAAAGTAAAGAAAAAATTTAAATAAATAAATAATAAGGGACAACATGAGAAGTGCACATTTTGCTGGTGCCGGCTGTTCCTCTCATACCCCACAACCAAATTTTTCCCAGGGGGGGGGGGGGGGTTACTACCATTGCTGGACCCGTAATAGATACTCACCAATAGTGGCGACTAAGCCCCCCCCCCCCCCCCCCATTCATAGAGGCTGTATTGTAGCTTCCGTCAATGAAATGCAATCTATGAATGGAGGAAGGGCGGTAGAATGAAAGGTCCACCTTCTCCATTTGTATTAATGGAAGCTATAGTACAGCTTCTATGAATGGAGGAGGAGAGCAGACAAAGCGGGCATAGTTGGCACTCTCAATGAAGTGCATATGACAACTTCCTCGGAAGATTACGGTCCCGGTCTTTATTAGTCCTGGTGGCCAACACCATGCAAGAGTAACAGGAAAATCCAAAATGTCATCACTGGAACAAACTGGGAATTTCTTTATTTTGGAGAGGCGACATAGCTATGGGTAAGGCTTTGTAAAATCGAAATGTGTTAGTTTCTGCTATATACTTGACTTTTAAGAAATTTTACACATTTTTTTTTTTTTTTTTTTTTTTAGTAGCAAAAAGGATTGGTCAAAGTTTTTTTTTCTTCTTTCTTTTGCAATCTACCCCAAGGGGGTAATT